TATACTGGCACATGGGGTTATTCTTTCGCAATGGTTTTGAGAGCAGGGCTGTCTGGAGAGCAATCTGCCCCTCTGGGACACGCTGAGGGATTTGTTTCAGCTGTTTCCCTGCTCTGGCAACTTGGTTCCATGGAAAGTGTGTTTCCCCCATTCCTGCACACATCTCTTCCAGAGATACGGTTGCAAAGCCAGACTGTTTATGGGTACAAGCTATTTGACCTCTGGGCAGTGCTAGTGTTGAAAGTGGATTTTTAAATTTTTTTTATCTATTTTTTTTTAACCTGTTGTTCTGGCCAAATGCCACCAGCTTCCTGTGGTGGCTGCCCTTTTGTTCCACCTGAACTGCTCCCACAGGGCGAGAAATGAACCTGTTCACATCCTAACCGTACACAGGCAGGGTTTTCTATTGTCAGCTGGTGTGTGTCTGCATCTTTCTTTCCCTGTAGACATTTTGGAGCTCACCTTGCTGGCTGTTCTGGCTTTTTATCCTTTCCTTTGACAGACTTGGGGATATTCCGACGGGCAGCAATGGTGCTGTACACGGACTGTATCCAGCAGTGCAGTCGACCAATGTATATGGTAGGTGATTTCTCATCTCTCAGCAATTTCTCACTTTCTAGGCAACGTGCAGAGGAAGGAGATGTGGCTATTTGAAATAGTGATGCTCTCTGCTTCCCTTCTTTGCCCTCCCCCAAAATGTCTGGGTAAGCGTAGATCTCTGCTGGAGTGGTTTACTTTCCCCCCTCCATCTCCAGGCCTCCCCCATCTCAAGCTTGATGAATAAACCATCAGAACAAAGGTGATGCAAGCATGGTAAGGTTTGCCTTTGCTGTTGCTCCCTGAGGGCATCTGTTCAAAGGAATGGGTTGGAGGCTCTGCAAAGCACAGCCTCTCTCAAGAAGGCAGTGACTGTTTTGGCTCTGTGGCTTACCCAACAGCTATTGCCATTACTACAGCACCTCGGGGCAGACAGTGTAAAAGTAAGAAATGGTAGCTGTTACCTGATGTCCAGCTAATAACTTTCTTTTTAACACAGAGTGCTAATTAGGGCTTGAAGTTTTTAGCCAGAGCATCCTTTTTATTATTTATCCTCCAAGTTCTGATTAAGTGTTAGGCTGAGCTTTGCAGGCAAACTCAGTGCAGTCAAGCATAAAGTAAGACTCGCCAACCTGAAATAACTACAGCATGAAAGCACCTGTAAACATAAATGTGCAGTGTCGCTGCTGCCTGCTGTAGTTACAGTGCTTTGCTAGCTAATGGTGAGATGGGTGAAAAAAGGCTTTGTGGATGTGTGCAGGATGCTACCCAAAGGTTCCCCTGCTGCCTCTTTCAGGCATGTCATCACTTTTCTTTAAAAAGTGGGAGGGAAGGAATCTAGCTAGAAGAACAGTGGAGAACAGTAAAAGGATTTGCAGAACCTCCTAAGGCTGATACTTAAGTGCTGGGCTTGTCCTTTTTTAGATAGTCTCCTTCTTGCTGCACTCCCCTCAAATTATTGAGGGCCAGAGCAGTTTCTATCTGGCAAAACCTCCCTCAGAGGAAACTTCAGAGCCAGGTGCATGTGTTTTTGCAGAACCAGATTCCAAGCCCTCACAGAATGATGCCCTGAGTTTCTGAGGCAAAGGCCTCTCTTTGCATTTCCTTCTGCTCTCGTGCAATCATCAGTGTCTCCTTTTCAGGACAGGATGGTGCTGCTCATTGTTGGAAACCTGGTCAACTGGTCCTTGTAAGTAGTGGGGTGTCAGTGTCTTGCATATATGTGCATGTGGAGCAGCAGGATTCAGTGTTGATGCACAGGTGGCCTGAAGTGATGGGGAAATACAGCAGCATCTGCACAGTAATCCTGTGCTGGGGCCCTTCTGATGGGTTTTGGCAAGGAACTTGAGCTGATGAGCCCTGATGGTTGGCAGATCTGCAGGATGCAGTGCAGCACTAGAGAGCTACGCAAGGCATCTCTAAGCACTCTGCTGGTACTCTCTCACTGCTCACATCTGAGTGTAGGGCTGGCCTGGTACCATCGTGCCACGCTGTGCTGAACACATGCTTCTCGCGTAGGTGCAAGGTCTGTGGCACAGTCAAGGTGGAGGAGACTTGACAGATGCTCGTTACTCACAGTCACAGAGCCCGGCTCAGCAGTAACTGCATGGATAGGAGGGATCAGCTCTTGAATGAGACCTAAAAATCATTGCCCCAAGCTCTTGTTTTTCACTAAGGCTGCTTCTCAAGGACATGCCTTCTGCTAAATGTAAAGGCCTGGGGCTAGTTCTACTAGGTGAGATGTATTTGACTGTGGGTTGGAAGCAACCCAGGGCCCTTACCTGTCCTCTGGGGTCTCCGGTTGCTCTCAGAGGCTGACCATGACCAAGCTGGCTCAGCAGGGAGCAGAGGCAAACAGTGCATTTCCTCCAGGGAATTGAGAGGTGATGGCAACATTGCTACATCCTGTGGTCTGGGCGGGGCTGTGGGTGGCTGTCAGTTTGGGGATGTACCTTGTCCTCAGTGAAAGAGGCTATCTAATGTCCTTTCTCCCCTCTCTCTCAGTGCTATCTTTGGGCTGGTGTATCGGCCCAGAGACTTCGCCTCCTACATATTGGGGATCTTTATCTGTAACCTGTTGCTGTATCTGGCTTTCTACATCATCATGAAGGTAAAGGGAGGCAGCTGTCCCTGGGGTGTCTGTCTCCAAAGCAGAGGGGATGGGTCGCTTTTGTGGCTGCAGTCTGGGTTCCTGTGCTGCTGGAGAGGGATGTGGAGGGGCCTTTGTGGGGCTTAGGCTGGGGCGGGGTGTTGGAGAGGGATGGCTGGGCTGTCTTCCTGGGGTGGGTAGCCCATCACAGATGGTCCAGGCTGATGTATCAGCCCTATGCCTGACTCCAGCCCCTGGGAAGAACTCGGGGCACATTATGACGCTGTGTACTTGTCTGCAGCTCCGCAGCAATGAGAAGCTTCTGCCCATCCCTCTGTTCTGCATTGTGGCCACTGCAGTGGTGTGGGCATCTGCCCTCTACTTCTTCTTCCAGAACCTCAGCAGCTGGGAGGTAAAGTTACCCTTTTGCTGACCAACAGTCCATCTCAGTCTCTCATCATCTTTCCTTCCTGTTGTTTGTTTTACACAAAAAATACCCTGGGGAAAAGTCTGGGTCTGCTCATGGAGAGCTGAAAGGTTTTAACTCCTCCAGCAGACTGGGAAGGGAGCTTGGGAAGCTGTGCTGAGCAAAAAGTTACTGTATGCATGTAGCTGCGGAGGGACTATTTATGACCAAGGTGATCCTGGTGGATGAAAAGCTGAGCGTGAGCTGGCAATGTGCACTCGTAGCCCAGAAAGCCAATCACCTTCTGGGCTGCATCAAAAGAAGTGTGACCAGCACACTGGGAGAGGTGATTCTCCGCCTCTATTCTGCTCTGGTGGGACCCCGCAGCTGGAGTACTGTGTCCAGCTCTGGAGACATCAACACAAGAAAGATATGAACCTGTTGGAGTGGGTCCAGAGGAGGGCCACAAAAATTATCAGAGGACTGGAGCACCTCTCCCATGAAGAATGGCTGAGAGTGTTGGGGTTGTTTGGTTTGGAGAAGAGAAGGCTCTGGGGAGACCTTATTGCAGCCTTTCTTAAAGGGGGCTTTATACAAAAGATGGGGACCAATGTTTTATCAGGACCTGTTGCAATAGGACAAGAGGTAATAGTTTTAAACTAAAAGAGGGGAGATTGAGACTAGATTGAAGGAAGACATTTTTTACAATGAGGTTGGTGAAACACTGGAACAGGTTGCCCAGAGAGGTGATGGAGGTTCCATCTCTGGGAACATTCAAGGTCAGGCTTGGTGGGCCTGAGCAACCTGATCTAATTAGAGATGTCCCAGCTCACTGCAGGGAAGTTGAACTAGATGACCTTTAAAGTTTCCTTCCAGCCCAAAACATTCTATGATTTTATGATCTGGAGGTGACTGGCCTTCACCAGGGGAAAGAGCAGGAGCTGGAGATCTAAAACCAAAACTGAGTAAACCCTGACCACTCCTGGCTGGAGACTTTTTTCTCTGGAGCTGATAACCAGTGGGGAATAACTGTCTGGGGCTGTGAGGACTCTCGTGTGGCCTGGGAGGCTCTTAAATCCTGGCTTGATGTCTTTTAACAAGATACCATGTCCATCTCCACAGAAGTGAGGGGCTTGCTGCAGGGTGTTCTGGTGGAGGCTGTGCAGCTTGTGAAATGTAGCACCTCAGATGTGAAGACTGGAGGGTTCTCCCCAGATGTAGGTTGTGACCCTATTTCCAGATCCTTCTCTCTAGATCATACTTAGACATTGTGTTCCTGCCCTGCTCTCACCACACATCTGACCAGCACAGTGGTTTTTCCTGGCTCCTGCATGGAGGGTTAAGACAGAGAGATCTCCAGAGGGTCCAGATTGGCCAGCAAGAGCCCTGTGAGAGTGGACATCAGGTCCTAAACCTCTTCCCCCTTCCCTAGGAAACTCCAGCAGAGTCCCGGGAAAAGAACCGGCCATGCATCCTGCTGGGTTTCTTTGATGACCATGATGTCTGGCACTTCCTCTCTGCGGCTGCCTTGTTCTTCTCCTTTCTGGTGAGTCCTCTGCTGTATGGCCTCACCTTCTCTTCCTTCTTGACCCTCTCTAGCTGCATGGAGCTGTGGCTGCTCAAGGACCCCACAGAAATGCCCCACCTCCTCTGCTTGGCTCTGCCTCCAGACATCCTTTGCAGCTGGGTGCTCCTTGCCAGTGTTTCAGGGATCAGGCTTTCTCCTTTGTCGCTCCCTGTGCATCCTAGCCTTGAATTCCCTCTGGGGCTGTGGGTCACACAGTTGTAGTGGGCAACCTGAGGGGCTGCTGGTGTGATCAACCCTCTCATGAGTTTGTGAAGACCTCCTGAGAAGGCACCTTACTCCAATTTGTTATGTGCTTGTAAGCTGGTCCCTCATCACCAGCCTCTGAAGAGCCATCCAGGACTGCTGAGGTTTTTGCAGCACTGTAGGCAGAGCTACCTGCCAGCTGTGCTGCTAGAGTGACTTGGTGGGAGTGTTACAGAAACCAAATTAATATGGCACATCTACGTAGGTTGCTGTCATGACTCCTGTACATGCTGGAGATGTGGCCCAGGTGGAGCCCCACGTGATGAGGTGCCATCAAGAGCTGGTTGTTCTCCCCAGCCTTGGGCTGGCCACAGGGACCTGAAGCTGCCTCGTACTTTCCTCCTCAGGTCCTGCTAACCCTGGATGATGACCTGGATGTTGTGCGCAGGGACAAGATTCCAGTGTTCTGAGTCCCCAGGGCATGGGGGCGCAGCAGCGTCTCAAACTGCTCAGCCAAAGGCACTGGGTCACTGGCATCTGTGGGGAATGAGCCTGCTTCTGTGGGAGCGGGCGAGACAGATCCCACAGCGAACATGAAGGGGTGCTGTCATAACTGAGGCGGGACCAGGAGGGAAGATGACATTTGTTCCTTTTCCACTGCATCCTCTGGCACAGGCATGACCCAGCGGCTGAGGCCAGTGTTACAGCCCTTGGCTTGTAGGGGCAGCAGGTGCTGGAACTGTTGAAGAGGGAGGAAACGGGAGGTGCGTTTGGGATATTTGCTTCCCTTCCTCCCTGCTGATGTGTTCCATGTCCTCTCTAGTGAGCAGGCTCAAGAAGTGCAATGCAGCTCCTCCTGCATCAGCAGCCAGTGCCCATACCCTGCAGGGTGCTGCCCTCTGAGAGTCCCTTCGGCAGCACGGGGAGAACGTTTGGTCTTGTAGCTGCCAAGTGAGCAAAGGACTCCAAGCTGAGGTGTCAGTTTTTTGGTTTTGGGGTTTTGTTTGTTTGTTTGTTTTGTGCCAGAGGTTCCTCCTGTAGCTGGTGGGCAACCGTGCCAACAAGAGAAACCAGTCCAAAGGACTGCAGCTTTGGAGAGAGATGGCGGACTAGAGCTGCCCACAGGTGCTCTGCCAGAGGCAGAACCTCCCACCTTGCTCTTGCAGCCCCTCTCACTAATAGAATATTCTCACCTTTCTCTGGTGGCTCCTACACAGGTGGTGTGATGGCCAGTGTTGAAGGTCCCCTTCACAGCACCAGCAGTGCTGTCCTCAAGCGACCCTAAGAGAGAGGATGCAGTGAAGCTGCAGCCTGGTGTGCTTGGTAGCTCCTTGGCAGCTCCTTGCAAGGTTCCTGTTGCATGGCCTTGCCAAAGAGGGGAGGTGGAACATGGAGGTTGTCCAGCAGCCTCAAACTTTCTCCTCCCGCAAACTTACCTTGGGCAAACTTGGCAAAGCAGGTTCCCTTATGGGTTGGGAGCATGGAGGAGGTTTTGGGACCATTGGGGCTGAGCTCTTTAACTAAAGGTCTGGACCAAACTCACTTCCTCTCCAACTTTCCTGTGTCTGAAATAAGTTTTTAAATGGCTTCTGCATTCTTCCTGAATTCTTAGTTATTTAACAAACCAGAATAAGGTGTGAATTACTTCAGGCCTTGCATCTAAAATGTTTACCCATTTTTCTAATTTTGAATTAAAAAGTATTCTCTGAGGCCTGCTGTCCTTATTCTTGTCACTGTCTGAGCATTTTTCCTTTGGTGTATGTGCATGTACCAGTGATGCAAAGGCTCCATTCCACTTCCGCTTGCCAAAGCAGAAGACTATGGTAACTTTCTACTCTGAGAAGTGTGTATTTGCTAGAAATTTTTTGCACTAGCCCGTTTTTTTTTTATTTCTACGTTGGAGTTTGTCAAGATGGTCAATAAAATGAATGTTCCTGGACCCTGCTCTGCAGGCTGATCTGAATTCTTCTTGCTCCGGCTTTTGGCAGCAGCAAAGAGGACACTAGGGGCAGAGGGGCACCCACTGGTGTCACGCAGCTACTGTCATCCTTAAGACCCTCACAGACAGTTTCCTGAGCATGGGTGTAGACAGCCTGCTTGTCCTCTTAACCAAATTGCCTTTGTGAGGCTCAGTGGAATAAAAAACAGGTGCTCTTGTTTGTCACCATAGCGCCTTTGGCAGAGTGAAGAGAGGGCTGGAGGAGGAATGACGCAAGAGGCTGCCAGCCGCTGTCTTCCCAAGCAGAGCTGCACTGCTCTGGAAGTGGAGCTGCTTTTCAGGCAGGCTGTGCCAGAAACACAGAAGGTGATGGTGGTCCCTATGTGCTGTGTTGTAGTGCGGTGCTTTGGGCTTGACTTGCAGGTTTGCCATGCAGATGGAGTTGGGAATTTTCTGTGTTTGAAGTAGGGGAAGGTTTCTCCAGGCTTGTTGTGAAGCATGAGCTTCTCTTCCTTAGCAGTGTCAGCATGGGCTGCAGGGAAGGAGATGAACACTTGCTTTTGTCTTGCACTAGCAGAAGACTACCAAGATGATGATGGTCTGTATTTTCCGTTCAGCCAACCTGCAGCCTTGCCATATGTTCTTGGTATGTCTAAAATGGCAGGAGCCGGTATTAGCTACACAAGCTTGTCTGCATCTTCCTTTTTTCTTCCTGTAAGGAAAGACTGCCAGAAAGTCTGAGGTGCAGAAACACCCCCAAATCCTTACTGGTGAATGCAGCAAGACTGAGCCACCCTCACCAGGGATGCCTGTGGGGTGACTGTGGTGCTTTGCTTTTCCCGGAACGAATGTATAAACATGTTGTGCAGATGGAGCCACCTGGGTTTCTGTACCTCAAAGTGTATGAATATTTTACTTGACAGCTTTTTTTTTTTTTGCGACACGTGCTTTGTTCTGCCCTGTCCCCCTCCTTGAAAATGCTGGTGTAGGAGCCTGAGTGCCACGCTCCCAAGTCCTCTCATCAGTAAAACCAAAATTTGTTGTAATAACGTCTGGGTTGTACAGGAGGCTGGGGTGTGCAGGATCTGCTTGTTCCAAGGCTTTACGTGGAGCGCAGATGGTAACGTGCAGTGATAGTGCTGCTGCCAGCACCAGCTGTTCCCTCCCTTCTCTAGGGGGCAGGAACAGAGGTCTGAGGCCCGGCTGCGTGGTGGCACCTGGAGGCTGTATGAAGAGCTGCAGCGGGGCAGGTCTTTTGGGAGGCGATGTGCTGGTGTGATGGTCACATTATTTGCTGCTGGGTGAACAAGTGGGGCAGTGCTTTGGGGCCAGGACCAGGGGAGGTAGCATGAGAAGGAGGGGAGAAAATTTCCCGATGGAGTCCTCACCACAGGCTTTGCGCAAACAGTGTGTTGCTCTTGCAAGTGCCTGGAAAAGGTCAGGTCAAGCCCTGTGTGTGCCTTTGGTTACGAGACTGTGTGGGGAGGTGCTTGCAGGACAGCAGTGCTGCAGTGAGCAGAATAAATCCCTGGGGGCATGTGGGGTTTGAACACAGCCTGCCAGCACCAGCAGGCTGAGCACCAAGTTCTCATGAAGTGCTAAACTGAAAGAAACCTCGACTCAAGGCAAGGCTTGCCTGGCTCCTCTGGGACCTGGAGGGAGATGTGTAGGCCTCAGATGCGATAGGAGCTTGTCGAGGTGGGATGCTGTGCTGAGGTGATTAAAGGTGCTTGAAATGGAGTGCCTGATGCTCAACAGAGCATCTGCCTCCTGTAGGAACTTTGGTGGCCTTTAATCTTTTAACTACCAGGTTTCTCTGGTGTCTCTGCTCCAGTCATGCCTTGCAGCTGCAATTGCACCACATAAAACACTCCAGAGCCCACTGAATGTTTTTATATGAAGTGGGCAGGTCTGGCCAGAGACTCCAGTGTGGTGTCTTACCAGGATTAGCAAATGCTACCTCCCTCGGTCCCTTTGAGCCAGAGAGAGGGAGAAGAGGGACACTAGTTTGAAAACTTGTTGATCTTGGCAGATCATCAGAACTGGTGCTTGAGCAGATATTGTGCAGGGAATCAGACTTGTGGGATCCAGTGTTAGATCCTGCTGTTTGTGAGGCTAACCTGAAGTCCTCTTTGCTCTCAGATCCCTTGCTTAGTCAGGTGCAGTATGGGCTCTTGCCTTGCAGGACTGCTCTTACCCAGGGTTTAGGTGTGGAGAAAGATTGGCAGCTTTTTTTCTGGTACAAGTATGTTCGCTCTTGGTGTATGTTTGCTCTTGTTGTGCAGAAGTCAAGGACATAGGACAAGGTGTTGGGGGTTTTAGGAATATTGCTTCTGTGCTAGACTGAAGAAAGGTTTGTGTGCCCAAAATTTGTCTAATTTTTTAGACACACATTTTCGTACAAGATATTCCTCCTCTCTGTGTCTTCCATAGTCGGTAGTTTCAGACCTTGTTCTATTTGTTTCTAGCCAGAAAGCTGGTTATCTTTAAATGGGAATGTGAGAAAAAACTAATGTTGAACAGCAGTTGGAAGGCTCGATGTAGGAGGTAAAGAGCAACAGATGGGCTCGCTGAGCTAAGCAGAGATGAGCACAGTATGTGAATAGCAAGGTGGTAACAGCAGTGAGAGAGAGGTTGGAGAAAGGAAAACAGCACAGAACAGGCAGGAAAATCATGACAGAATTAAATTAGGTACAGGACCTGGCCTGGATGGATGTGGCAGCTGCCAGAGTGTAACTCTCCGTAGGTTGTGGAAGCTGTACCTGCCCAGCAACGCCTGCCTGGAGCCTCCTGCAGTTGGACATTAAACACTCAGGCTTATTTGCCAACTCATGGGATATGTTTGCTGTTTTTATAAGCATAAGATCTGCTGACACTTGGCTTTGTTTAATTTTTGTAGCAACATGACCTCTTGCCTCTGCTGTGCTCTTGTCTTTGCGCAGCTCCCAGCACCTGAAGGTGTCTTCCCTCTTCCACAGCTCTGTTGACATAAGCCACAGAGATGAGGTGGATACAACCATATACTCCTTGTGTTCTCAGGAAATGTAGGTAAAGTTGTTCTGCCTGGTACAACTCAAGC